CAAATAAAAATGTAAGAACTTTGGAAGTAAATTGAAATAAACCTTATTTATCTGAAATATGTTTTTTGTTTTTTTTAAATAATTAAAGGTATTGGCAAATTAAAATTATTTTATCAATTTAAAAAGTACAGATAATTATAATCAATTTTTGCTAAATGTATCTATTTATTTATTTATTATTACTTCAAATGCGCTTGAAATATAAGTAATATAAATTTTAAAAAGTTTTGCTAAATTTTCTTCGATAATTATTAATTTTGAAAATAGTTTTTTATTCTGCGAAAACAATTCTTTTTAAACTTTTTCAGCTTAAAATATAACAATAACCAATGCTTACCTGTAAAAGAAGTTATTTACAAACAAATTCAGTTAATTTCCATCTCTATTCTAAGGAATTAGAAGATCGAATTTGGTGTTTACAGGATGAAAAAAAAAATAAGAGTGTTTTTTTCCGAGACATGCGCAGTAAACGGGTTACGGATTTGTGCGGATGATGATGCGATAGTAAGCTTATGACACGCATTTGGGATTTTTTGAATTCTTTTTATTCCTTTTTCGATTACAACATGGTAGACGGGAAACGCAAACGATAATTTCAAAACTTTTCTTTTCCAATGACTTGCTGTTTGTTTTGAATGCTCTGATCATTAATAACAAATATTTTCATGGGCATAAAGTTTAAATGACGATGCAAAACTCAATTAAAAAGATATTGAATTACGGATACAAAAGCCGGTTACGCTACTGATTCTTACTATTTCAGGCATTTTTTCAGGATGTCATGGAACAATAAAACATCATCTGTTTAAGGAATTCATTGAATTGTTATATAATAGATACAAACATGATACTTTATACGTAATTTAATGAGTACATTAGAATTTTCATATTAAGCTGTTTGTTTTAAATATAATTACTTTGATGCTGTCTCTTAGTTTACCTAACAGGGGGACCAATGAATCCACGCAGAAAATGAATAATTAATGTTACACAGGGTGTCCACTAAAGTCCAAACCCACCAAATTAATTGCCAAACGGCTGAAGTTATGGTTACAAAAATAAATAAATAAAGCATCGAAGTATACAGTAAAGTGGATATCTGATAGAATATAACCGTTTGCAGCATCATCTGGTGAAAAATCACTGAGTAATCGTTCCGCTTTACTATCTCGAAAAAAATTCGAGATACGGTGGAAAAAGCTAACGACAAAGTTATAAAGCAAGGGTTCCAAACCATACCATGGGTAGAAAAATTGCGAACAATTAAATATATGCTTTAAGTCTTTTGTTCTTTGGAATAATCTCTTTAAGGTACCTTTCTGTATCTATACTTAATCGATACTGTGCAAATACTTTGTAATTCACTTTCTCCTATCTTATTCTGTTTTCGAGTTGCGATCACTAACTTCGCATGCGCCAAACCACTATAGCACCATCCCTGCTCTTTCGATTCGCATTGTTATTCCGTTATTTTGTTTGTTATTGTCATATATCTAGATTTAGACATAAAATACAAGTAAAGTAACTCTAGCTCTAATTTATTTACGCAACTTAAATATTTTCGTTAAACTCAATGTCATAAGTGGTCTCTCTCAATAATTTATCGATCATTTTATCATTTTTGGTGTTGGTAATAATGAGTACTGATACATAAAGTAAAAATATCAAAATTAAAAAGATAAATAAAAAAAAAAAACTTCGGCACTAAAGCATTTTTCTTATAATTGTAAAGTTTGATAACGTATTTTTTTTTCCAGACATATTCCAATCCTTTCCATTATTCAGTGTAAATGAGATCCAAAAAAACTTACATTCACATGAATTTTCTATCTCAAAATATTTTTGTTAAGACTCTGGTAGGCTAATTTTTAAACTTCTGAGTGTTCCTTCATAATATCAATCCCAACACATTTATATACAAATCGAACATTTCGGTGGCCACTTACCAGCTTAACATTAACCTCTGTTGGAAAGCTTTAGCTCACATTCAGAATTTTTATTTATGTCATATTCTTCACGAAATTATTAGTCTATTACTACAATTATTAGTCTATTACTATCCAACAATTCAAAACAGCTTTTTTCCCCTTCTTCAAGAGAATGTACTTTGCTTTTAATAATTTTCGTAAAATCATTTGGTCACGATAGCCTGGTTGGTAGAGAGCTGAACCCCCGTTCATGAGAACGGGAGCTCAAATCCAGCAGGCCGAAGTCACCCCGTGTAGTAAATGGTGACTGGTGCACGTTAAATCTGTCTGGTCACAAAGTCCTCCATGTTACTATAACAAATTATACCTCTGAGGGTACTGAATTGGAGATTGATCGTTCTCTGGTTCAGGTCAAAATTATGATCTGTGGATGAATGAATGGGTCCGCTCTATAAACGGGTCAGAATTCGAATTCTTGTCCATAGATGGCGCCACTGGTAAACAAGAACAATCGCACCTATTGCCTTAATGGTCTACGACAACATCAGCATCATAAAATTTCTTAAAACTCAACTTCTGAAAATTAATTTTATGAAATTATTTAGAATAAAAAATCTCTGTAGTCTTTAACTTTTCGACACTGCATTTTAACTATTTCTGACTTTATAAATTGATTAATAATAGAGGATTCTCATTGCTTTCCGATTTAAACAATATTTTAGTTTTTTCTTATTTACATAGTTGACTTAATACCTTGGGATCCTAATTTCGTCGTGAATTTGAGAAAATCGAAATAAAGTAGATAAAAAATACCTTCAATTTCTATTAATGTCAGAATTCAAGTCATTTATTTTTTTATGTATTCTTTTTTAAAAAATATTGACTAAATTTTTAAATAATTAACAAGAATTGAATAATTTTTAAATGAAACCTAATATTATTTTTTTAAAAATATTTCCATTTCAAGAACCAGTACACACCGGCTGAATCTGATTTCAGTGACATGGGACTTAAGTGGACATCTTGAATAACTTTTTCATTCACTGGTTACATTTTTTCTGTAAGATTGGCAAAAGTTGATGTACAGAGCGAATCGAATTTTAAAATTAATCCGATTTTTCAGGAACTATTTGACCAGCATCGCTCAAATTTTGTATTTTGCCATTTAAAATTACAATCTTTAAAATGATGAAAAAATATATACCTAGCAATTCAAAATTTTTTCGACTACTATTTACTGAAAGTTATTTTTTGCGGGAAAGTATCTTTGGAAAAACAAATTTTATATTTGCATTATACAAATTTAAATTTTAAAAGTTTGTGCAAAACTTTTTCAATGCGCTTAAAAAGTTTTTGAGTTATAACGAAATACGTAAAAAATAAAATTAACATTAGGGGGTGCAAGCTTAGGACCGCTCTCCTGACCTAACTATTGGGACCATATTTTCGAGATAGCAGCTACCTCCTACATTTTGGGGGTCAGAAATCTGAATCCGTCGAAGAGGAAAAAAATGTATATTTGTTCAAAAGAAGTGCATTTTATGTCCAATTTCGGCTCTAATTATGATATTTGAGTTCACCGTCTAGAAACTATTAAGTATGAGTCCTAGATAGTGAAGATCCGAACATTACATCAAGTTATTCAGTTTTACATCAAGTTTACTTTTTTGCGCACTGTACAGGCCCATGCACATTAAGTAGAAATTTGTAAAAAAAGGTTTTTAAATTGCAAAAGTAACTTTCTAGTTTTCTTTTTACTCTTCATTAACATATTTCATTTTCAAAATTTTAACAAAGGGGGCATGTTATAAATAATGTTTTTTTTTTTAATCAATGTTTACATTCAATTTTTCTCTGTATAGTTTCAACTCACTAGCCCCCCTCTACCCTATGTGCTACTGATAAAATTTATAAGTTTATCAATTAATAAGGCATTTTAAAAAATGCCAAAACTGGCTGTAAAAACCCTGTATTTTACTTTGTTGAATATGTTAAATTTTGTGGTAACTAAGCACTTGCGGGAGGTTTTATGTTTCTGCTTTAATTGGAAATAAAGTGCAGCTGAAGCACTTCGAATACTTGTAGAAGTTTGTGGTGACAATGCTCCAACAGATAAATCTAGGGAATGGTTTCGACTTTTCAAGAATGGTGAATGAAGAAGGGTGTTGTATACTATGAGCTGCTGCAACCTGACGATTTCATTACGGGCGATCTATATAGGCTACAATTGATTCGTTTGAGCCGTGCATTACGAGGAAAACTTCCGAAATACGAGCAAAGACATGACAAAGCTATTTCTTCTGCCTGTTAACGGTCGGCCTCATGTCGCAAAAAATTATTTGGAAACGCTCAAGTGGGATATTTTACCGCATCCATCGGACATTGCTCCTTCTGATTACTGGTTGTTCCATCGGATGCAGCACGAATTCGCAGGTCACCGATTCACATCTTTCGCAGAAATCGAAAATTGGCTCCTAACTTGGATCGCCTCAAAAGACGAAATATTTTTTCGAGATGGAATTCGAAAATTGCCAGAGAGGAGGAAAAAAGTAGTAGCCAGCGATGGACAATACTTTGATTAATCTGTTCATTCATTTTGTTCTGAAATAAAAAATGCATTTTTGACCAAAAAAGAAACGGAATGAACTAATTTGTACTCCCAATACTTTAAATTGGGCTAAAAATGCCAGGTATTCCATAAAAAGAGGGAAAACCACATTTTACTAAAACAGGTTGAAATTGAATGAGCAAAGAGTTTTAGAATCATTCACTGAATGAAAATTTATGTCTCTACTTTTGCAGTTATAGAAATTATTTTGAAGCACAATGTTTCCGTTACATTAAAACTAAAAAATTATGTTTACAATGTATCCTATAAAAAGGCATATTTTTTTTAAAACCTTCCCAAGGGGAAATAGTCTCTAGGAAAAATTATCAAGAAAAAAGTTGTTACGTCAAATTTTTTCAACTATGCAGTGAAGGTAATGAAAAACATAAATCAAAATATAAGTTACAGAGAAACTAACATTAATTCTAGATTAGATGAAAAACAGCAATAAAACTAGGAGCAAAGTAGGTTCAAAACTTTATTTCTTTCTAAATACATAATATATGCAACATTTCCAATAATGTTATGTAAATAAAAAATAAACAACCAGCTTTTCGCAATTTTGTGCTCAAATCAAACATATAACATTATAACAGTACTTTTAACAATTCAAATAATGATAGGCCCCTAAAAACTGTACTTATAATTCAAGAATAAAATTAAGATTTTCAGATCATTAATAAAAAACATGCATAAAATTTAAACATTAATTGGTAATATAAATTAATAATTACAGGTGCTTAATAACTTGAATTAAAATATTCATAATTGGACAACCTTAGAGTAATAGTGAATTAATTGGAGAAAAAAAGCACAGGGACAAAATAAGCGTAGTTCCATATTTAACTTTAATGGTAATAAAAAATGTAAAAAATTTCTTTAGTAAAAAAAGAAATGATGTGCAATCAGTATGTCAGCACCATAGAATGACAAAAAGTAAAACCCGCATAAATATTTTTCAGAATAAAATACAGAACAAATTAGTTGGAAGTGCTTTAAAATACAAGGAGATGAGGGATTTTTCTTTTCTTTGAAAAAAAAAAGAACAATTTTTGTGCAAAAAAAATATATATATGTATTATTCAAAAGTTTAAGTAACAGCATAATTTGTTTTCCCTATATTTTACATTGCTCAATTTTCATATTTATCTTTTCATATTTACAAAAAATAAAATAAAAACATTGCCAGATACCAAATGTTATTTTGAAATTTGTATCAACCATTGTAAATTAGAAAATATTACAAGAAGTTATAATTTTTTGAAACAAATTATTTTTAATTCCATATTTTATTAACTTTTACAGTTATTGCAGTGCAGCTGTATTGACGTAAACTAATAAAATGCCATTTTTTTTAAATGTTCAATCAACACCATAACTTTATTTCATTATAAGCAGTCCTTTAATTACGAAGGAACCACTACTAATTTTAGAGAAATACTAATTTTGTTCATTTTGACTTACAATAGCATTTTGTAGCATCAATATCACAATTTCTGACAGTTCGGGATGCTTGCGTATTAGTAAATCCAAACCACTAAATGCATGCACAAAAAATAGCACTTAAATAGGTTTCTCTTATATTTTAAAAACACATTATAGATGGCAGAGGAAAATATTTAAAAGTTAAAAAACATGCCCAGGACAAATATATTTCAACTAAACATAATATCTGAAAACAATTTTAAAATATGAAAACATCACTGATAACATTAAAATTTAAACTATAATAGATTCAACAATGTTAATGATATGTGTATTTACGCAACAAAATTTGACAAAGCAAATAAAAAAAGAAAAACAAATGATTAAATTTACACGACATGCTATTCTAAACACAAAGAAATACAGATCAGTCTCACAAAGTTTTAAACACAACTGTTTAATGACTATTATACCAGTGGTCCATCCTTAAGTCATATAAAAATGCATATTAAGTTGACATGTTAAAATGATAAATACATGAAATGCAAGTAATGATACATGAAGTTATTTATTACTAAATTCAGCATTTAATTAAAGCAATCTTTTAAACTGCCGACCACTGCTCAACAGAAAGGAAGAATACACATGTGTTAACTATTTCATCTATTGCACTAATCACACAAATACCTAAACTATTACTAATGCACTGATGAGAAATATAATGCAATGTAATACATCGCTTATTTTCTACTAAAATCCAATAGTCAACGCACATGATAAATTACAAAGGGTTGAAAGAAATGCCACAGAGAACATTTGGCATCGTATTTTATAAATACTTTATTCTATAAAAGATTTATAATACCATATAATATACTTATTTTATTTTTTTCTTTACACATAACACACTATAATTAAGCTTACAAATATGTGCTTTCAGCTGTGCTCTTTTTATCAACCAGATCTTTGATGTCACACATGTTTAAACAGGGGGTAGCGAGATACAATTTCCATTCAGATCAATTCTACGAACACAAAAATAAAGTACTAAAACTCAATGATAAAATGCAGAAAATTGTAGTGAAAGAGTGACAAATATTAACATGCTGCAGGTCTCAGATGTTTTTAATTTATCTGTGTTTTTTTTTCTTATATCTTAATCAACTAGTAGTTCAAAATGAACACTTCCTAATCTGTCTCCTCTGTCAAAATTGATGTTCTTAGCCCAGGCACGGCACTCAATGTTGACGAGCACGCCACGGTTGATGTGGCTGAATTGCGCAAACACAAAAGGTGAGTTATAGACTTGCTGATTCATAAAGGGAAAATAAACGGATGAAATACCCTGGCTGGGGTGGTATTCAACTTCTCCAATGTTATCTTTATCTGCTGAATTCTAAAAGAGTGACAAAGTGTAATTAGTAAACTATAAATGAAATATAACATAAACTAAAATGTACACATCAATGAAAGCTGGATTGACAATTGAACTTAAGAGAAGAGTACATCAGATTTGCAATAACAGAAAGTAACTACCTGAAATTTTTTTAGTGCTTACTTTATCTTTTTATGCATTCAGAATATAAATAAAAAACTCATTTTTATGCTCAAAAGTAACATTTATAAAATTTTAAGAGAGAAAGAATTTTTCTTTTGTCTAATTAATTGTTTTCACATTAACACATAGAAAAATGTATACAATGAAAAAAATTACATATTCCTCCTTTTTCGTACTTTACAAGTTATCATACACAAAAAAAAATTTAAAACCATGAAATCTACAGCAATAACAGAAAAAAGATCGATGATAATATCATATGTATTATATATGATGAAAGCACAACAAAAAGGGATTAATTAAATGTATATTATGATATTCATGTGTTGTAATAAATATTATTGTATTAAAAATATCAAAATTTAAAAATATATACGGAAATCAATAGTGATCATTGCGGAGAAATTCCGTGTACAGGGTATCTGCTACATTTTAGGTTTTCAAATCCATGGCTAATTCCAAAATTTTTTCATGACTTAACGAAATTACTATTTTCTCCGACAAAAACACAATGAATTAAAAAAAGCATTATAAAAACACTATATAATGATAGGTATAACCAAAACTGTTATACTCTGCATCTTCATATTTATAGATTTTAAATTTAAAAAACAGAGTAAAAAAAAGTTGAAGCAATAANAAATTACTATTTTCTCCGACAAAAATATAATAAATTAAAAAAAGCATTATAAAAACATTATATAATGATAGGTATAACCAAAACTGTTATACTCTGCATCTTCATATTTAAAAAACAGAGTAAAAGAAAGTTGAAGCAATAAATAGCTGGAAAAAAATACAAAAGCAAATAATGTTTTTCTTTTTTTCCACAGAATATTCTAAAGATACTTTTTTTGTTCACCAGAAATGAAAGAAATACTTCAGATTTTTTTGTTCTCATTTCAGAATTAAAAAAAATTTGGCAATGACTAACTTGCTTCAACTAGAATTTTAAATTGATAAAATAAAAAAAAAATAAAATTTCAGAAATTACAGATGTTTAAATGATAATTTGCTCTAGAAATGATACGATTTCTTTCATTTTTTTTAAAGAACACCATAATTATTAAAGAACATGATAAAAAATTTATGTTTTAATAAAATATGAATGAGTAGGGAGATTGTTACAAATTCAGATATTTGGAACTCCATGAAATCGGGGGTGAGGGTGAATTCCATTTTAAAAATTAGATTTTCAGGCAACCTAAATCCATGACTGTCCATGATTTTTTTTTTTCAAAAAAATTGTTAAAATCATGACATTTCATGAAAAATTTTGTTCAATACCGAAATTCATGATTTTCCAGACAGGCGCATACCCTGCCCATATCATAATATTATCAGCATTTTCAAAAATCATGTGGAAATCAACAGCAATAACTGCCAAAAAAGCCTGATAGAAACGATACATGGATTTTGCACAAATCAAACATATCAAAAATTAATTTATTCAAATGTATGATTTTGATTGTCGTAATATTATTAGAATTTTAAAAACCATAAGAAAATCAATTAACTGCAAAAGAAAAAAATTTCAAACATGGATTTACAATGGAGTTGAGGACGTTGAAAACTGATTACTGAAATGCAAGACTCAAAATTTTCATGTCGTAATCTCACATTAAAACTATTTAAATCTAGTCAAATACAAAAAGAGGGCAAATATATCACAATGCTTAAATATTTCTTCCGTTACAAATCAGAATTTACAGCAAAATTGCAACTCATTAAACTAAGTTTTAAAAAAAAGCAGAGAAAACAGCATTTTTTTTAAGCAAACTATCTTTCAAATGTTTGCCATTTTGGAATTACTTTTTAGATTATGAATTTTATACTTTTGTGTTTGCCTCAGTAGTTCAAGCCAAACTTATAAAAAATTTTTGCTGTCTTGTGTTCTCAAAGTTTATCTGAAGGTTTTCTCTAACAAATCTACTTAAAAAAAAGTCGTTATGGCACGTTAATGAGGTGGTGCTGGCAAAAGCGGAATAAATGTCTCGTTAACGAGATTTAGCGTTAAAAAATAAACTTTACATTTTAGATTAACAGAGACACTAACGGTAACAGGACTAACAAAACTCTGCGAATTAGCGGAAGAATCACATGCCAGTTATTTTTGAAGTTCAAAATACAGAGGGTGAGAAGAAATACCTTGAAAAGTTGAAAACCAAATATTTTGTGCCTAACAAACAGCAGAGTCATTTAAAGGTATAAAATCTTGAAAATATGAAACACAATGTGCGATCTTAAAACATGTTAATAGTGTTGGAAAATGTAAACATATAGATGGGCCGTGTTGTCCTCCTTGCTGTTTCACTTCCTGTTGTCTCTCAGATAGTAGGAAGTGGGCGTTTTTCGAATTAATTATGTTCTGCTTTGTATAGAGTTATGTCCCTCTCTTGCAGAGTTATGTTTAGTTTTGTTGTGTAGCTTTCTTTCTTTATATTTAAAGTTGCATATTCTTCAATAAACATAGTTGTACAGTTCTCTGTGACTTGAATTCTTCATTTATTATAGATGTCTGCAATATCTGAAACTTAATAAGTTGACTCTTATTTTCACCAAATAGGAATCGTGATGCGTGATTTAAAATCACCTGAATGTAATTTTAAATCAGGTTTGCATTGGAAGAAAAATCCGTAAAAACTACTATTTTATTTTCTTGGGAATTCCAAAAAGACAAACTTTATTTGAAGAGGCAGATTTTTTTCTTTTTCAGTAATGGTAAAAAGCTTTCTGCGATGGTGACTAATTTTAAAGGAACAACGCAAGTATACATTACAGGTCTGCCAATGGCCCAATTCATTTTCATTTAGTACAGCTTAGAAAAAAGAAACATTGACAAAAGACAATTAAGACTTATGCATTCCTAAAATAAAGAGGAAGAAATGGGACAAAATATCAGTAGATAAAATGTATCTTAAAGCAGAAATCTTATACCTTTACAAACCTGTTATAAGAATAGAGGTTATTACTGATTATGTTTCAGTTCATTCAAAAATCGAGATATTTTAATGCGTATTAATATTTTATATTATATGTGTTTCAGTTATTTCATGTCACTCGGCATATGTTCTTATGCTTGAATCTTTTGTCATTCGTTGACTGATTTTTACTATTCAGTTCCAACATTTGGTTATTGTCCAAGTTGAAGGATTACCATTCAAAAATCTCTTCCTTTTGACACACTAGATGTACTTTTGTCATTACCTATCTAATAAAATCACGTCAAAGATTTTCTCAACTATGGGATGGGGGAGTATATTATATATAACTTTAAGTTATATATAGTAAGCATATATATAGCAAGATAGCATTAAATATAGCAAGAGGGTTTTTTTTTCATCATAACAATTTGCATTTGACAAAAATATTAGATTATAGCTCTTAACCAACATTAATTATAAAAAATGAAATAAATTTTTAATTTTACTTAAATAAATTTTATAAAATAAAAAAAAATAATTTTCTTAAAATAACTTAATGTTCAATATTACCAAAATAGTAATTTTTAATTCCCAGTTTCAAAACATTTACATAAAAAAGTACACATAATACAAAAGTAGTGATCGGAAAACTTGCATGTTTGAAACAAAAACATATAATTAATAAAATAATTTTAATTCAGTTCAAAAAAAATTGTAAATATGAATTAAAATAAGGTATTGATAAAGATTGAATCTGTTTTAGATCTACATTGCTATGTTTGTTAATTTTATCTTAATATTTTTAAATTTACTCTTCTTAATGAAACACTAGTATCACATTGTTCAGTTCAACAAGTTTATTTACATAAACTTAATCAAAGAGTGCTTAAAATTAAACAAATACTGTTCCTTTAAACTAAAATTCAGTAGTTCAAATGACTATTATTCCAGTTGCCATAAAGGTTTAAGCTTATTTTGACCTGATTAAATAATTTTCCAAAAACTTATACTGTATATATACAGGGTGATTCTAAAAAGATGGGCAAAATTTTAGGAAGTGATAGTGCACACCCAGGCAAACAATTTTTATCATAGAATGCACGGTCGAAAACAAAACATAAAACCTTTATAGGACATTAAAAGTTACATTCTTTTATGAGGCAAAAACACACAAAGAATGATGAAATTAAGTTATAAAAGTAAATTTAATGACATGTGATTACAATAAGTGTTCAAAACAATGGCCGGCATTGGCTATGCACACAGTACAACAACAAAGAAAAGATTGGCGAACATTCTGAAACACACCAGTCATATCACGAACTTCCCATGCAACGGCCGAAAGCTTGGCGACAAGTTCTTCTGCAGATTCAATGTGAGTCTCATACATAAGAGCATTCAGCTGACCCCATAAAAAGAAATCGATACATGAAAGATCTGGCTAGCACAGTGGCCAAGTTATAGGACCACCTCGCACAATCCATTGGTTTGGAAAGGTTACATCCAGATAGCTTCGCACTTCTCGTACATAATGAGATGGTGCTGCATTCTGTTGGAACCAAATGCATAGACAAAATGCATATCGGCTTTTTCCTAATTAAAGAAGGGCAACATCTTCAGATGCGTTACTACCGCGATTGACAATGCACTCTCGAATCAGCAGCTTTAATGTATGAATCGTGACGAAAATTTTTATACGAGCTCTTCTTCCCATAACATGCAAATAATAACTTGCAGAGCGGTAACTTGCAACAGGAATGGAGCTTTCATGTTTGCATGAAACAACTTTCCAAATGCACCAGCACCTTTGCGTTTTGTTTTCGACCATGCACTCTTTGATAAAAAATTGTTTGCTTGGGTGTGTACTATCACTTCCTAATATTTTGCCCATCTTTTCAGAATCACCCTGTATATAAAATGAAGATAAAACAAAGGAAAATTACAGACAAATGAAAAAAGGGATGGAAAGGAAAATAATAAAAAAAATAACAAACTGGGAGGAGGGAGAAATTTTTTTTTTAAATTCAAAAAATAAAAGATTTCGGATTTAAAAAAAAAAANTTTTTAAAAAAAAAAAAAAATAAAAAAAAAATATCCTTTCTTTTCCTCCTCCCAGTTGTTTGTTATTTTTTTATTATTATTTTTCCTTTCCCCCTTTTCTCATTTGTCTGTAATTTTCCTTTGTTTTATCTTTATTTTGAACTTATCTTATGAGTTCTGTTTACTTGTAGCTTATGCAATCAAAATAATATCAAAATGAACATCATAATCTAAAGGTGGAATACCAGAAAGTCAAATAATTAACTAATCATGAAGTATCAATGTCATAAAATAATTTTTTTACAGTATATAATTTTATACTTCAGAAAAAATTACTTGCTGATTTAAAAAGTTAAAACAAGCTTACTTCTCCAAGGCATGTGATGTATACTTGGTCCTTAGCAAATTCTTTTGTTAAATGCTTAGCCAAATCAGCTGGTGGTGTGTCATATGTATCTGGAATCCAATCATAAATCTAAAGGGGGGAAAGCATTTAATGGTCATTACACCTTTAATTAAAGGAATCGATCAAGTCCCACCAAATAAAAGTATTTACAAACGTGTAAGAAAAATAAATCTCTAGTTTTACCCAAATATTAATATTTTTTCCAATTGGAATAAGTTAAAGATCTCGGAATAATATTATGGGCCAAAATTTTTGTTCAAGTTTCAAAACTTTCACTTCAATTTTTTACTTGATAACAGCACTAGATAAAGTCAAAATTACAATCCCTTTACACAGTTAAAGGGAATCAAATGAAAGTGTACTTTTCAATGCATTGATTAGAAGATTAAAGGTAGAAAAGAGATACTTGAACTATTAATGGATTAGAATAACTTTAAAAAAAATAATAATTGGACTTTTCGCAAACCATGTTTCTCTCAAGACTATTTAGTTAATAACTTTTAACTGCTATCATTTAGGTTAGTATTATATAAAATCTTTGCACTATAAAATTTACAAACTTGCAGAATTTATTTAAGTTAAATGCTTAAATTCAAAAGTTGAAACAGATACTGTAATACATTTTCCTAATTTGTTACATCTTAAGAATAATTCATTAAATTTTATTACACAATGGGAAAAATTTCGATTGTTTGATCAAAACTTAACAAGAGGTTTAGGTAATAGAAAAATACTGGTTAAATCTAGATACTAAAAATTAAAAAAAATTATTATTTATTTCAAAAAATGAAAAATTATAGTACATACATCTCTATTTTGTTTTTATTAAGTACAGAAATTTCTATGAACAATGGAAATAAATTTAAGAAAAGCATTCTTTAGCAAATTTCACCAGCAAGAAGTTTAACACTCAATTTATTTTATCCATATAATCCGGAACATTCATCATTTGCTTTTATTAATAACAAAGAATTTAAATTAATTTAGATTCTTTTCCAATAATCACATCAGTGTTATCCTTGAAGGAGAATATTGCATCGATATATAGTCTTATTTTTAATTTTAAAAGTAATTAAAATTCTGGGATTTTGATCAGTTGTTAAAAATGAACACACTGATACTAAATCTGACTTTTGACACTTACCCTATTGAGTTTAACAATAACGCATGGTTTGCCTTCTGGATAGCCATACTGTCGCTCTGGGGAGCAAGGGTATTCTTTTCCAGTTTTGACTTCAAAATGGCAAGATTTCTCTTTTGTGGCATGCTCTGTTGTGCAAGTTTGAACAATTCCCCCAGTATCACGTTCAAAGTAAGCTAAAAACAAAAAATTAAAATTTCTATATAAAAGAAAATAAGTGATAAGTCTTTTAAGTAATAGCACTAAAACATTTCACAAAAACAATAAGCAGGGTGTCAATGTCTTAAAGCAAAATGTAAATCACTCGATTAATCTTTGATTTAAACTAGAAAAGAATAGAATTCTAAAATTTTACTGATTACCAGTTCTTGGTAACCCATAAAATTTTATTTATTATTATATAGATAGAATCTGATATTGTGATACATTAAATTTAAACAAATTAAATTTAATATAAGACCAAAAGAGTTAAAGTTTTTTACAACTACTTAAATTATGTCACATTTTTTTAAAGACCTATTTAATTATTTGATTAGGAATTTTAAAAACCTATATATCATATTATTTAAGAGTCAAATTATATATTCAAACTTAACAATATTTAATTATAAAAACTATTATATAATTTATTTATAATAGTGAATGCAACAGGAGCTTTTTTTTAATATGTAGCGTATATGTTTAGCATGCAATTTTCTAATTGAATTGATTATTTTATTGATTATCAAGCGGTAACTTTATGATATTTTTAAAAATTTTCAAATATAATTATAAAACTAGGTTTTACTATTCTCATTAGCACAAAACATCAAAATTAGTTTAATTTTTTAAGAATGTCGTAAAATGTTCCCATGTTTTGAAGTTTTTACTTACTTAAAAAATATATATTAAATAGTTTGAAAATTAATAATATTTTTTAAACTAGATTCCAGATAAAAACTGTTTTGATACTTGGCACTTCCTTTCAAAAAAGTTATTTCTACTTCACTTTATCCACCAAGCAGAAATTAAACTATAAAAGCATAACAAATAAATGTTTTAACATTAACCCCTTCCTTCTCGCTCCCGTGATATTGACGGGCTGGATGGAGAGTTCAATAGCAATGCGCCAATAAGAAAAAAACTAATTCATTTCTTTTGCCCAGGAAAAGATTTTATTTCACATTTTACACACCAGATGGCAGTACGAGGATATTTGTAAGGTAATTGTAGATAGTTTATTTTAAACTAGATGTTAGCACTATTCAAATATGTAATACAAACACAAAAGCAACAAAAAATTAGGCACTTTTATGACAGTTTTCTTGAAAATTAATCGATCGTTAAGGGGGTTAACACTAAAAAGAATGAACATAGCTGTATACCTAAAAAGACCGTTTTTGCCTTTCTCAGATTGTTTGAGCATTAGACAACCGAAATCTTAAAATAGAATCATAATTTAATAAAAATATATTATAGACTAGATCATCAAAATATTAAAGTTTATTACTCGATTTGGTAAACAAAAGTATTTGATTAAAGAGAACATTGGCTTTTCAATCATACGTATTCATCAGTTTCTCAGATAATTCAGTTTTCTTTTCTCCATAAATAATAATTAAAGATATGTTGAAGTACTCTGGGTTTTTTCATTCATTTCTTTTAATGAAACTGAGATACCTTACCTTATATATGCAAAAGGGTACCTTATACCCACAACTACCTGGGGTATTGATATGCCAAAATATCTAAAGGATCCTTCCTGTCATTCTAGGTAAAAGGTTCCTTTATAACACTAACACATAAATGATTAAATTAGCATTGAAATTGGATCAAATTAGGAAATGCCAGAAATACTGAATACTTTCAGGAAGTTATTTTTTAATTCAAAGATTAATAAAAAACAAGAGAGTTTAAACTGGCTCCAACTGTCTTTAGTGTTAAATATATGCTTAAAACATCAAAAAATTATCTTACGTTTTAAGTACTCATTGATATTTTGAACCCAATAATCGGTAGTTTCATTTCGAGTGGCATTAAACCAGATGAGGGTGCTGTCAATGTTGGCATTAGGTGGTGATGGTCTGAATCCTAAACCTAAAAAAAGAAAATACAGAGTTAAGAAAAATATTCTAATACATTTACTAAAAATACGTTGCAATTATATTTAGGATTTTCTTTTTTAAATTCTAGTTAAATTACTGGATTACTTAAAAGACACAAACATTAAATTTTTAAACGTTTGTATATCAATGCATTTTTGCAGAAATATCTTCTGCAGGCTTCATAGTGCTTCAAAATAAAAATCGGGACAATTTGTGAAAACAAATCATGATATTGTGTAATAATATATTACACTGCTTTTAAAAGGAGCAAACGACAAACCGAGAAAAAGTAGGTTTAATTTGCTCAATATAATATAATAAAAGCAAATTTAATGCAAAATAACAAAATTAATCGTTCTTAATTGAATTACTTTCTTTAGAATAGAAAGTTTTAACATTTTTCAGTATAATTTTATTTATAGAGCATTGAATAACTTATAATACTTAGAGATCAATAAATTTCTCTTATAGTATTAAGTGGCTTCACCCTTTCTGCTCCTCTTACCAGACCCTATAGTTGCTTCTCATTCATTTTTTTTCTTCTTAAAAGTCAATATAACAAACAAAAACTTCATAAAAAAGTATTATTTTGTTATTAAGTGTATGACTATAATTTTATGTAAGGAAATTATATTAACATGGCAATCGAAACAAGATGAGCGGATATCTAGACTTGAAAACTTTTTACCATACAACAGTTCAAATTAGAAACTGTTTATTTCTCTTGAGCCTCTTATACTTTTAAAAATTTCACTATAAATATTAAGATAATATACCTCTCACTGTTTTTGTTATTACATTTAGTCATTTTCTTTCTTTCTTTTTTTTCTTCGTTCATGTGACATGAAGTCCAGAGCGAAGCTTAAAATCTCAAGAAAGATAAAATTTTCCTAGATAGTCATAATTTAAAGCAAAAAAGTGAGAGAAAAAAATTGTCATAACTTTCAAACAGATTGAAATTTAGAAAAAAAAACTTGTTAAGTTCACTGCTTCAACACATTAAATTCAAACTATGCAGGGCCCGCACTAAGCATTTACCACCTTGCCAAATGCAAAAAAATCGTAAATTCGGTGAATGGTGACAGATTTTCTTACTGAAAAGAAAAATGTAAAGAAAATTCCCCTCAAACAGGAAAAAAAGTCAAAAGGGATTTTTTTAAAAAGATTTTTAAACAAAAGGTAATAGTTTACAACAGTGAGACCTTCCTACATTTGAAAACTTGAAAATAAACCAATATTTAAGAAAATGAACCAAGAACCAATTGCATAACAGTATACAAAAGTTGCAGTAGCCCAAAAATGATGCCACTGAAAACAAATAATATCACGGTAACCAGAAGGGGATAAAAAAATGTAACGAAAATTATCGACAAACTGGAGATATTTCCGCATTGTGATCCGTCATGCCAACTACTATCGCCAAGGTGCTAAATTGATTTTAAACAGAAGAAGTTTTAAACAAAAACATGTATATGCTTGCACAGGGTTGTCTACAAGTTATACCTTTTAAGTTACCTTTTTTGACTTATAACTTATGAGTTTAGTTTTCTGTGATATTTTTGTCAGTTTCTCGCGAGCTGCCTTATCAATTAATAAAAATTACAACACATTTGCTTCCATCATAACTTCAAAAGAAAAGTATAGAGATCCAAAAATTTAATGTCTCACCTTAGAGCGGGGAGATTTAAACATAGTGATCTGAGGCTGAATAATCACTTGGCAACTTCTGGGCAGCTGCCCGAGAGTAACTAAATATGCATCGCAGAAAGGGACCAACTTGAAAGGTAAAACTCATAGTCATCCCCTGGCAAACAGCTAAATGTTTCTTTATTTTAAATTTGCAAATTTAAAATTTATTTGGCACCTTGGAGCGTCACATCTTGATACAGATATATACTCCTTAGAGTCACCAAAATACTTTAAGTTAGTTCTTAAAGAAAACTCCTGATAATAAATGCATAAAATATAAAAATTAGATAGTAAACTTTTACTTAAATTTAAGTTAATATTTGTATAGTTCTTTCTTAATTTTAGTTAACTAAACATTACTTTATGCTACCAATTTTTGCCAAGTCTAGACGTTACCTTAATACTTTTAAATATTACCAAGGTTTTATTTTATCCATTTGCATTTTAATAAAAATGTTGGAGTATTTCTCTTAATCTTGGTTAAATTTGCTTGATATAAAGAAGTTGGATATAAAGAAATTTTAAAAATAGGAATACCTTTAAATGATTATTATTTAGTTTATGAATGTAGCAAATAGTTATGGATTTAAGTTTAGTTGTCTACATTTAATGGTAAAATATATTTGGACATTTTTCACACAACATTATGCAATACTTAAGGTAATTATGCGTAAATATAAAAAAAAATGAAATTAATAAGTCTAACTTCTATAAAAACTTTATACATTTACAATTAAATCTGCTTAATTTCTATTGCAGCATTACAACATGCTTAAAAAAAATATTTGTATGAAATATATTTTAAAGTATGAATAATAGCTTTTATGCACAGTTGCCAATAAAAAGAATGCTTATATTTAATAAAAACCATAGTAAATTATACTTACCAGGACTGTTGCCTATTCTACTGCTGTCTAATTTCCATTTTGGTTGATCATTCTCTAATGTTTGGTAGAATACAACTAACATGCACGTCCAGAATGCCGCCAAACAGGCATAGAATATAATGTAGAACAAAGTGATTTTGACTGAAAAGGAAATATTGTTGATAGTTATTTGCCTTTACATAACATACAACTTTGTAAATATATACCTATCAGGGGTCTGTCCAGGCCGAATTTACTACCGTTTAGCGGTACCTTCACAAATTCAACTGCAGGAAAAACGGTAGTTTCACAAATGCAACTTAAGGAAAAATGGTAGTTTCACAAAATATTTTTTCTTACAATTTTGATTTTGTATCCCTTAAGAAACGATAAATCCATATTTTTTGTGTTGATTTTTTAATATAATTTTAAAATTTTCACAAATTATGTCTAAATTTTCACAAAATAGGTACCTCTCAGAAAAACCTAGACAGACCCCTGCCTATATTTTTAATATACAGGGGTCTGTCTAGGTTTTTATGAGAGTGGCCAATTTTGAGAAAATTTCGACATAATTTGTGAAAATTAAAAATTATATTAAAAAATCAACACAAAAATGCGGATTTATTGTTTTTTACGGGGGATACAAAAATAAAATTTTAAGAAAAGGTATTTTGTGAAATTTCCTAAAGTTGAATTTGTGAAGGTGCTGCTAAACGGTAGTAAATTTGGCCGGGACAGACCCCTGATACACAATATTCAACTTTGCGAATAAAAACAATATGAGGCATATAATTGTGCACAGGTGTAGCAAATGTCCAATTTTTCAAGGGGGACAAAATTAAAATACATAGTCGCAATAGTGGTCTAAATTTCAAACATGAGAGAAAAAATTCTTATGTCTGAAAAATTATTCATTATTTTTATTCCTTTATTTTAAAATTAGGAGAATTTTTGCAAATCTTCATAAATTTAAAATGAAGATTTGCAAAATTTTTGCTTGTCTGAAATATCGAGGGAGGCTTTTAGAAATTTTTAATTATTGAGAGGGACATACACCCATCCAAACCCGTTAACATCTATGGAATTTTTTTACTGCGACTAAAAAGACTATATTGTTGATAGAGCAATGTCTTCTCATAATGTACGACTTTGTACATATGCATATTTTTATTAATATGTATTAATCAACTATGTAAGCAAATATAAAATAAGCCATAGAACGTAATATAGAATTGCGTTATTTTGAAGAAAATATTGCTGCTGATTGTTACAGCTTTATCTCCCTGTAATATAGAGCTAGATATTTTTAATATATAATATTCGACTTATTGTAAATATTCTTTATAATAAATAATAGTACATAAATAATAAGTACAATACATAAGTATAAGTATTACATTGTAAATATTCTTTTCAGTCGAAATAATTATTCTACTTTTTCACTATATACAACTTTGCTTTGATATAAATTATCGCAATTAAAATCAATAATATTAAGATTTTTTTTTTCATTATAGCAAGGTAGTTGAACTGTAAATAACGTTTTATAACGATATATTATAAGAAAAACTTCCTTACTGCACCCAACACATATTTAGAATTAAGTGGGGCATGCAAGGATTTTGTAACAGTAATTTAAGATAAATTTATACAATTAACATTACGTTTACCATAACTTATCGCATACAAGTGCAAATTCTTTTATATTAAAATTGCAAAGAAAAATATAACAGTTTATTCTATTAATCGAAATATTCTATATGGATACTAAAGCTTATCATTTAAATATACTTACACCAACTTAATCCAGTTCGTCCCAGACATTCTTGAGTGTCCGAATTCCAAAACATTCTTTTGAATTTCTGACACCCCGTTAGTTCCTCATGAGGTTTATAATAAGTTTCACCTTTATCTTCCATTTTTAATAAATGTTTTTAATTGAAAGAATTATGAGTTTCTATTCTAATTACAGACAGCAGTACGCACCCTTGCAGGCATCCGAAGGTGATCCGAAAATGAGGACCAATTGCGCTTGCGCAACTCCGAAGCGATCGTAGCGCTAGCTGGCGCCAGTAGTCGCCAGTAGTTCCTAATAATTAAATGGACCTCTACGGTGAAAACTGTTTTCAAAGATAAAGCTGGGTGTTGAGGGCAGACTGCAATTTAACTATTGACATTTTGCTTCTATGGTAATAATAACCGAACAATGCAGCTTGAAACCGGGTTATTTTAAACTTCATTCGTTGCATTGCTTTCATATTTTTGCTTTCTGAGATTCTACAAACTGGAGTGAATATTTTTTCAAATGCATTTTTTTATACAAATAACCTTGTATTGTTAACAAGGTTATTTGTTTCAATGGAATAGTTTTTAAAAAAATAATTATGTTTTTTTGCTTAAAATAATTGCAATTATAATAATTTGTTATTCTAAAAGCATACGTTCTAAAAGCATAAAAAATTAAATTTTCAAGCGAAATTGAAAAAAAAATAATAATTAGATAATAATGTTAATTAATAATAGAATTAGATAATAATTCATAGAATTAGTTAATAGTTATTGACTAAAGACTTTCAATTTTTAGTCAATAATTTATTTAACTGAACAAATTTCAACTGAATTAATATTATAATTTNCCAAAAAACACAATTTTTGTAACTGGGCGGGGCTACCCGACACATTTTGAAAAGAGCTGAAAAACATGTTTTTTTAAATTTCAATTTTTTAAAGTTTAACTATTCTTTTTTGGTTCATTCTTTTTGCATTATTTAATTAAATGATAAAACAATAGAAACATACAAAAATGTTGATTATTATTTAGTATTATACAAAAATACAAGCAATACTCTTTAAGTGAGCGGGGCTACCCGACTCTCCCCTATATATATGACTTATTCAAAATACATGCAGAATAAAATATGTTTTTGAAACAAATTTAATAATTAAGTCGATAAAAATCTAAAAAAAAAATTTTTTTTTATGAAAGTGTACTCTGTGAACATAATAAATTTCTTCCAGTAATTAATTTTTGAATACGTTTAAATAGAAATGAATTAAAAATGTGAAATACGATTTTCATGAAATATACCGTTCTCTTTTTCCCTCTCTTTTAATCAAATAACTCTTCTACCCCTCTCTCTACTAATATTACATTATTACACATCTCTTTTCAAGGTCATCTTAATTATGAAGTTTGACCCCAGCAGTTTCAGGAAAGCTACCCTTTTTTAAATTTTAAAAGTGATATTTCTTTACATAAAACTGTTCCTGAGTATTTTTTCCGGATATATACTTAACAGCAAATACATAGAAATATTTTATTGCCTACATGGAAGTCGTGATTTTCTGACCAGAAATGCTCTCTTGAACATTATGAAAATGTTGCTTATCATTATATTGCCAAATGTATTTTCATAAAATATATTATGCACTGCAACAACGTTATTTTCTTTCTTTCTTTTTTAAAGAAAATGAACCAAAGTTATTATTTTTATGCATAAATTTAGCTATAGTTGGATGACATTAAATTTTTTGCTTCTTCTCATTCATTTTTTTTTCATTAATTATTATTTTTATATTATTTCAGTGGAAACACTATTAAACCTTGGATATAAATAATAAAGAATAAATTGATAATTCATGATTATTTTTCTCTCCAAAACTTATTTCAAACTTGAAAAAAAGTAAAAATTCAAATAAATTCTTTTAAAAATCAAAAATATATATCCCCATTACGTAGTGTATGCAAGAAATATATTCCTCCCCCCCCCCCGTAAGAAATATATTTCCCTATTACTCAACAGAAAATAGTTATAATTCCAAATTCTTATAGGAAAAAAAGTTTTTATCTTTTAAGATACTACCAACGTTTTCTCAACAAAAAAAAAAAAATAACCTTATTATTTTTATGCATACATTTAGCTTTAGTTTGATTGAGATAGAATTTTCGGCTTCTTCTAATCCATTTTTTTTTAAACTTTATATTATTATTTTTATATTATTACACTATCAACATTATTAAATCTGGAACACTAATTTAGGGAAAAATGATAACTGATAATTATTTTTCTTTCTAAAACATGCAACAACAAAAAAAAGAAGAAACGAATTTTTTTTTATTCTTCATAAAATTTAGAAGCTAATAAAATCAAATTAAGACGGGTTGTGTCAGAAGCATTTCGAAACAGTGAAGGGAGGGTAAATAATTTTTTTGTTTATTTGTTGAGAGATTTTACAGAGCATTTATAGATTCTGCCCCACAATCTAAGATGAGCTTTATTGATTTTCCCTATGAACCTTTTAGTATAGACTGACTGCATTCGGGTTTAACAATTAACCATGTATTTTTTTAAAAGAATATGTATAATTTCAATTTAATTTTAAATTGACCCATAATCTATAAATTTACAATTCACGAACAATTTTTAATTCTGCATTTTTTCTTTCCATTAAAAATTGTCGGGAGATAAAATTGAATATTTGTTTTACATGCTTATTTTTGCAAACGTCTAAAAGTTGAAGTTTTTAATCAAAACAGAAAGTTTATTTAAGAAGAGAAAAGAGCATTCTTTTTTGTTGAAAAGCTACGCATTTTTGTCAGCATTCAACAGTAGCAAATATTTCAGATTAAAAGTTAAAGATGGTTTTCTTTACATCAGAGGTTCCCAAACATTTTTGAAACACTGCCAATCTCTTAAAAAAATTAAAAAAAAGCAACACCCTTTTTTAAACAGAGTGTTTTTCCTTTTTTAAATGTGTATGATACATTCAATATAGCAGATTTCTGCATATTAAGTACTTGCGAATGTATCTAATAACAAATGTGTTCATCATGATATTTTTATTTTTTTTACTAAATTCACATAAAAGTGGCCCATATGTAGAATTATTAGGCGTTTTCATGTAAGTAAAGGAGGGGGGGGAAACTTTGCTTTATGTATATTTTGTTTAATTTCTATCATTTATTTTAGTTTATTTTATTTCATTTTATAACTGTCGTTGATCAGACGATCCAAATTTGAATTTACGATACCAATGCTCAACTCCGTAGCCTTGTAATTTTGAACCCAATCCAGAAGACAAGGGAACTCCTGTATCAGTACCCCCAGAGGTTTTTAATTTGTTATAGGAACTAGAAGGACTTTGAGGCCCGGCAGATTTCACGTACACCAGTCACTATTCAATACACGGGGATTTTTCAGTCGGCAAGATTGGAATTCCTGTTTTCACGAACTTGTGTCCAACACTCTACAAATAAGGTTATCCCTGCCCCTCAGTCACGCATTTATCATTTTTTTTCCCTCGAAAAATTGCATAAATAAATTTAACATTTTTAATTATTACTGAACCCCGTTCCCAGCACGCTGAGCTCGAATTAATTCGCTGTCCCTTTTGAATTGCGCTTATTCATTAGGCACTATTTTATTTTAATCTAGCTTTGCATACATTATGGCACTCTTTTTAAAACAATTTACTAAAAATAGGCAATTTATTCGCACAAGAATGAATAACATAAAGAAACCTATTAAAAGAACATTTTAAAAATTTATTTAGGGAAAAACAGATTAATAATATTTTGATCGGAGAAACATTTAATATTATATATTTTTATTTAATTCTTCTACTTATTTGTTATTTCATACAAACAACTCAAATTTAAATAGATTCGAAATTGCTTTGGATTCGTGAAATTTAAGATTCATCAGACCCACACTTATCTTTTAATTTGTTATCCATTAAAAAACAATCTACTTAAAAGTGTTACAAAAAATGAGCCTGACTTTTAATATTTAAACAAGAGTCTCGTGGCCAAAAAGCATTTTAATGTTAATCTTTTATTTTATATTCCATTCCCTTTCCATTAAATATTAATATCCAAACAACATTATCGAAGTGATAATAAAAATCAGTCGAAACCCCCAACTTCTGCTGTATGCTAGGTAAAATGAAGATGATAATACCGATGAAAAGAGTTGAGTATTAATTACATTAGTTTGTTCCATTAATATGTCAATTTAATCCCATTTGAAATATGAATGTATTTCCGTTGATCCTGTTTTTTTCAAGAAGCTGAGAGTTCATTCAAGAGTGTTTTATTTTACTTATAAAAATTGTATGAAGCACATTGAAAAAAAAAAAAAACTCGAATTTATATATAATTAAAATAAAATGACAAGAGCTTTACTTACACCCGTTTAGCTACAATGCTGTTACGCGATTAAGGTCAAAATATAGATGATTTCGCAGTTAGAAGTTGAGGTCAAAACCAAAGTCCGTAATTTGTTTTCAGTTCGTTAATTCCCAATTTTTTTTTCTTACATTGTGATTTCGAAAATCATACAGCGTTGCCGCATTATTATAAAGCAGGGTTTTCCAACTTACATGAGACCGGGGGCCGCAATTAAAAACACCAGTCAAATGGAGGGCCGCAACTTTATAAAAATTTTACATAAGACTCTTATGTTTGAAGGAACATTAAATATTACTGGCAGAGTTTTATCAAGTTGTACAAAACAGAACTATTGAATTACGAATTAGAATAAGAAGTAGATTTTTACCTGAGAAATAAATTTCTTTTGCACCGATGTTACATTTCAGAGAAACGAAGAAATTTGGTTTTTTTTTTTTTTTTTAACGAAAGAAAAGTATTTTAAACCCATTTAGATTTTTTAAGAAAATTGTCAGCAAAAAAATGACAACTAATATAATTTAGTTCGTGGGCCGCAAAAAAAGACTTCGTGGGGCCGGATGTGGCCCTCCGACCGCCATCTTCTAACCACTGTTATTAAGTAGCATATTATATCTGTAATATCCATAACTTTCACCATTTATTGTCGTTTTATTTTTTTTTCCCATGAAGAATAAAAAAAAAAAATTAGAACCTTAAAGCTATAACGACGTTTTAGAAATGGGCTTTTTTGTTCATTCCCCGACTGAATAAAGATAGTTTGATATAGAATTATTGATTTTATCCGTTTGGAATTTTTCCGCCATTTGGTTTCCTCGTTCTTGATGATGACTTTTTGTTTGTGTTTATGTGGCGTG